TTTAAATAATAACCATAATAAAAATTTTTTTTTTTTTTAATTTTTTATAAATTTTTAAGCCCAAAAGGCAAAAGAAAAAAAAAAATTTTCTTTAAAATTATCTTTAAAAAAATTTTTTTTTTATGGTCATTTACCGTATGGTTAATGTCTTCCCTCTCCTCTCCCACGAGCCCCCTCTCCCTTCCCACCCCATCCCGCCCTCTCCCCCGTTCGTTGAAATTTTTACATTAACTGTAAACTTTTACCCAAAAACAAAAAAAATAGATATCGAACCATTATCATTATCATTGTTATTATTATTATTCTTTCATGCAAATAAAAAAAAAAAAATTTTTTTTTTTAAATATAAATTTTAGGCGTGTCATCAGACTTTAAAATAAATACCGGCGGCAAAATTTTCTTCTTATTCTAATTATTATTATTAATTTAAATGAGACGAAAAATATTAATAATAATAATAATTTTCTCTTTAAAAATTTTTTCTTATTACGTTCATCATCATCATTATCATCATCATCATTTTTTTTTTAAATCCATAATAAATGTCGTGGTAGTAAAATGAAAGTCGTCCGGGGGTTTGACGTCGTGTAATTTGATAACGTAAAATGTATTTTTTTAAAATAAAAAAAAAATTAGGTTTTGAATTTTTTCGAGGAATCGATATATCGATCGATATCGAAATTTTTTAAATTGAAAAAAAAAATGGAAAAAAGAAATTATTAGGATTATTATTATTATTATTATTACTTTTCAACGACAATTAGATAAAAAATTTTTAAAATTGTTTGTGTTTGTTGTGTTTGTAAAACAAACGACGACGAGTAAATGGTTTTAATAAAACAAAAACTCACGATTTATAATACTTAAAAAAAAAATTTCCCTCTGCGTTTGTATGTGTTTGTCGATTTCAATGAATTGATTTTGTTTAAAGTTGTTTGTTTGAAATAACGGTCACATTATCGATGATACTAATAATAAACGAATGAGAAAAGTTGGGGAGCGATCGTGGAGGCGGTGGTGGTGTTGGGGGCGTTAATGATCGAGTCGCGACGTAATGGGGGAAAAAAGAAATATTATCATTATTATTATTATTAATAATTTAAAAGAGAGAGAGAGAAAATAATGATTGATAACTCTTATCATTACGTAAATAATTTCGTGTTTGAATATCGAGGTTAAAAGACATACACATTTTTCCAGATCGTTCCACGAATAGTTAGATTTTTTCCCTATAATTACGTCATTGATTTGTCGTCATCATTTACGTCGTCATCGTCGTCGCGTATTTTCATTAAACACGTATACGGCATTTTAAAATCGCCATTAAAAAATAAAAAAAAAATTGGAAAGTAAATCATTAAAAAAAAAAAAAAAACGGTTAATAAATCAATTTTTGAATTTATTGATTTGTTTTTTTTTTTTTTTTTTCATTTCATTTCATTTTCTCTTTTAACGTATTTTTTTTTTAAAAATAATAATAATAATAATAATTTTTTTTTCACGTCTACATAATTTATTACGGAGAAAGGTGACACATTTGAAAATAATAATAATAATAATACCCGTTATTATTATTATTATTTTCTCTTTCACATAAACAAATTGATTTATTAAAAAAAAAGAAAATTTACCATAGGGTTCAGCAGCAACGCTGCTGGTATTTTATTTTTTAAAAATTATCTATGGCCTGATATTGTTTCCCGGAAGTCTGGAAAAGTCTGCAGAAGTGTAAGGAATTTCTGTAGAAATTGAGAAGTAGACTGGAGAGTCACTAAAGATTATGCTGGAGTGGTTTTCGGACAATTGCTGCTGAAAAATTTCTAGAGAAGTTTTGGAAATTTTTGGAGAATTGCTGAACAAAAGTCCTGAAAAGATGAGGACGACTGCTGAATAAATCCTTTGTAATTCTGAAGAATTCCTAGAAAACTTGTGAGAATTCTGAGAATTCTTGGAAAAGTCTGAACACTTCTGAACAAGTCTTGAGAATTCCTAAAGAAATTTCTGAAGAAAGCTTGAAAACTTCTGGAGAACTAGCTGTTGGAAAGATTGCTGGTGAAGTCTGAAGAGCTACTGAAGATTTCGCTAGAGGACTCCTGAAGAAATTCTTGGAAAAGTCTGGAGAATTTTGAGAAAAATTACTAAAGAATTCCTGGAGAAGTCTGAACATATGCTGGTCAAGTGTTGGAGAAATTACTGGAAAAGTCTCGAGAATTTTTGAAAAAATTATTGGAGAAGTCAGAGAACTCCCTGAGAGGTCTGCAAGATAAGGTTTTTTTGGAAAAATTCCTGGAAAAGTCTGAGAACTCCTACAGGGATCTGAATAACTGTTGGAAAAGTCGTGGAAAAATTCTGGAGAGGTTTGGACATTTGCTAGGGAATTCTTAAAGAATTGCTAGGAAAAACGCAAGAAAATCCCTGTTATATAATTTATGAGTGCTAATTAAATTATTAAAAAAAAATAAATAAATAATTCAGGAATTTATTCCTTAGGGATAAGGGCACGGAAAAACTAGTAAAATAAATATCAAGGAAAAATTCTAACGAAAAAAAACATTTGACGAAACGAACGTGATAAAAAATAATAATAATAATAATGATAATATCACGGAATGGGTTAAGCGAAATAAATTAATAATAATAAGTTTAACTCGTTTATCATTAAATAATATTCAAAAAATCGATGATGAATCGATCGATGGATCGATCGATCTATCGATCTATCGATAAGAAGAATTTATTATTATCGGTAAAAAAAAAAATAATCGATAGGTCGAAAGAAACCATATACGTGGAAAGAGATAGAAAAAAAAAAAAATTAGTCACGTGGTATAAGTAAAATTCGTGATTATTATTCGATGATGATAATGTGTGATCTATGATAATACATAAATAATCGAAAAACGATAATGATAATAATAATAATAATAATAATAATAATAATAATTATAATATTGAAGAAAGTAAAACGGAATTTTTTGGGTAAACGTACAATTTTATTTAAGAGTCACGGGGTTTTAAGATTATTATTATGATGATGAAAAAGATGAAGAAGGAAAAAAAAAAAAATGGCGCCTTTTCTCGTGGGCAAATTCCAGTACTTTTTTTTTTCTTTCTTTCTTTCTTTTTCTTTTTCTTTTTTTTTTATTATTATTAAAACTGGTATTCGATCCCTAAAGCAAAAACTAGTTTTTTTTTATATATATTTTAATTCCGCAGGAAATCATTTTTTTTAAAGAAAAAAAAAAAAAAAAAAAAAAAAAAAGAGCGAAGTCGTTAAAGGCTAAATAATCGAATAAACTCATTTTTTTTTTTTTTGAAAACCGACGAAATTTTCATGAGCTTTTTTTTTTTGACGTGGCATTAGACGATGATACCGGTCGTGAAAATTTACCTCGTTTTCCCCCTCCCCTACCCTCCATCTTAAAAATTTTGTAAAATTGCTATCCGGAAACTTTGATTGTAAACTGTTTTCTCCCTCCCCTCTCCTCTCTCCTCCCTCTTTCCTCCTCTCTCCGCCTCTCTCCCCGATTAAATTCTTTTATTATTATTATTATTATTATTATTTAATTTAAACGGACGGAGTCGATGATGATGATGATGATGATGATAATAATCGTGAGAATTCGTTTAAAAAAAAAAAAGTTAAACTAAAAATTATGGTAGCACTTTTAAATTATAAAAGTGTTAATTAATAAACTTGATTTTTTTTATTAATTTTTTTTTTTTTTTCAAAATGGCGTCTCATTGTTTGTTGTCTGAATTTTTTTTTTTCTCTCTCTCTCTCTCTCTTTTTTATTTATTTCTTCCTGCTTGTTACTTTATTATTGTTATTATCATCGTCATTATCGTCATCATCATCATCATCATTATTATTACCATTAATTTTTATTTGATTAAATAAATTAGTAGTGGAAAGGAAAAAAAAAAAAAAAAAGTGAACAACAAACAACAACAACAACAACAACAAACAACCAAATTAAAACTTTGTCGGATAGAATTATTTATTTATTTATTTTTTTTTTAACGAACGCCGAATAAAATAATAATGATAATGATGACGATAATGATAATAATAATAATAATAATAATAATAATAGTTTTTTTTTTAAATTTTCCGCCATTTTTTTTTTTTTTTTTGAAAAATTTCCGGCAAAAAAAAATCGTTACGGAAAACAAGGGTAAACCGATTCTATTTTTTAAAAAAATTCATTCACTGATCAGTCATTCTAATTACTAATAAGAATAATAATAATGATAATGATAATGTTAATGATAATGATAATGATGATGATAATGATGATGATAATGATGATGATAATTTTAACCAAACGACGAGAAAAATTTGAAAATTTCATTCATTTTCGGTTGATCGGAAAATTTTTTTTAGAATAAAAGAAAAAAAAAATTAATAATAATAATAATGATGATGATGATGATGATGATAATAATAATAATAATGATAATAATAATAACGATAACAATGATAATGATAATAATGATGATATATTTAAACTAAACGACAAGAAAAATTTTAATTTAATCTGATTCGTTTTAAGTTGATCGGAAAAGTTTTTTTGTTTTTTTTTTCGGATTAAAGAAAAAAAAATAATAATAATGATGATGGTGGTGATGATGATGATGATGATGATGATGATAATAATGACGTAATGAAAAACGAACAAACAAAAAAAAAATTATTCAAATTTTAGCGGTAAAAAAATTTTTTAATTTCAAATCATAATTAATTGTAATAAAAAGTCGTGGCAGGAGTGGGAGGGGGAAAGGGGGAGGGAGGAGGGGGAAATGTTAACGATCCGCAAGGGAAAATCTTTTAATTAACGGATGTTTTTAATAATTTTTATTTTAAAAAAAAATATTTAATTTGAGATAAATTAAAAAAAAAAAAAAAGTTAAACTTATAAATATTTTGACTTAGGAAGGATGAGAGCTTACGTCCGCCATTATTAATTATAACTTGATTAAACAACATGGCGGACGGTGTTGTTGTTGTTGTTGTTTAATTTTTGTTCGGTAATATTTCTTTCTTTTTTTTTTAATGATGGTTTGCGTGCGTGATTTGTAGGTAAAAATAATGATAATAATAATAATAATAATAATTAAATGAGTGGTTGGTTGGTTTAAAAGAAAAAAAAAATGAAAAATTATTAAATAAATATTGATTTAAAAAAAAAAAAAATGAAAGAAAGAAACCTTTCGAGATTTCTAACGTCGTCCACTCGACTCGAAAAAACTACCGAGAACAATTAAACAAAAAAAAAAAAAAATTCTAAATGTAAAATATTGTATTAATAGTAGCAAGTCATCATCATCATCATTATCATCATCGCCATCGCCATCATCATCGCCGCCATCGCCGCCATCATCGCCGCCATCATCATCGCCATCAGAATTTTTTTTTTTTTTTCAAGTGTGTAACTGGCGGCACATACCAATGGTAAATTTTTGTGCAGACACTTGAGATTTGCCGCCGCCATATTTTTTTTTTTTTTTTTTTTATCTTTTACCACGTTTTATACAATCGCTTAAAATAATAATAATAATAATAATAATAATAATAATAATAATAATAATAATAATAATAATAATAATAATAATAATAATAACAAACGCCATGATTTTGTTCTTTTTTTTCTGTTTATGAATGTAAAGAACTTTTCGATCGATTGTTGTTGTTAAAATGGGGGCCCCTCAAAAAAAATTATTGTCCACCCACTTTTATTAATTTTTATCAGGTATTATTCAGGTATTATTGTCTTCTTCTTCATTTAGTAGTAAAAACCTCATTCTTAACACATACAAAAACCTAAATGTATCAATCAGGTTAAAATAATAATAATGATGGAAAGAAATAAAAATAATAAAATAAAATAAATAAAAAAAGAGTGAGAGAGAGATAGATAGAGAGAGAGAGGGGAGAGAGAGAGAGAGGGAGAGAGAGAAGGAGGGAGAGGGAGAGAGAGAGGGAGAGAGAGAGAGAGGGAAAGAGAGAGGGAGAGAGAGAGAGAAAGAACAAAAGAATAAAAAAATTGTATTCATTATTCATTCACATCAACCGACCGCTAGTCGGTGAATGATTGAATGAAGCAAAAAAAAAAAAAAAAGTTTAAAAGAAAAATTACACGGGCTTGCCGGTGTGGTATGCAGAAGGCGGAAAAAGAAAGATGATGATGATGATGATGATGATGGCGAGACGAGCCGGATTTAAAAAAAAAAAAAAAAAACATGAATAGTTAAGTAATTTGTAATTCAGTAATGAGAGCCTAAAAAAAAAAAAAAAGTGGATTATAATAATGAATGAATATAAAAGAAAGAAACAAACATTTATATATATATATATATATATATATATATGCTTGCAATTATTTTTAAGTTGGCAAAACTTATCGTAAAAATTAATTTCGATGCCAACATTTAAAAAAAAAAAAAAAATTTGTTTTCGGTGGGTTTTTTTTTTTTTTTTTTTTTTAAATTTACGACCGTTATTTTATTTTTAAAAAAAAGAATCTTCATAAAAAATTTTTTATCTGATTTTAATGTGGCGGCGGTTTTGGCGGAGGCGGTGGTGGCGGTGGCGGTGGCGGTGGCGATGGCGGTCGCAACGGTGACATTTTTTTAAAAATTGAAACCACTCTCAGAAATTTTTTTTTTTTCTTAACGGTTTTTTTAAATTTTATTTCTTTGAAATCATCTCGTCGTATTTTAAAAATCACGTATTTCGAAATGAATAATTAACTTTATTATTATTATTATTATTATTTTGCAAAAACGTGGAATATGCTACGTTTTTTTTTTTTTTGTAAATTGTTGTTAGTGACACGAAATTTTTTTTTTTTTTTACAATTTTGCAAAGATTTTTTTTTTGATTCGTTCGTCACGTTCGCACATCTTTTTTCTTATTTCTCTTTATTCTTTTTAAATTCCTTCGTATTTTACAAATCGAACAAACAACAAACGACAACCATTTTGAAAATATTTCTTCGGTATCGGTGTGAGCAACACGATGAAAAACAAAAAAAAAAAAAAAAACGGTTAAAGCGGTAAAGAAACGCGCGTTTTTTCAAAAACGGTCACGTGTTCGAAAATTCGTCGGAAAATTATTTCGAAATCAATCGATCGAAAGTTCGATGACGTTTTTACGAACACACG